TGGCGAGCTCGAGAGTGCCTCGCATCAGCTGCTCGCGTGCTCGCGAGAGTGCTGCAACACCTGCCAAGTACACGCCCGCGACCTCGCGAAGGGAGCTGCGACCTCGAGAGTGCGCCGATGCCAACGCTCGCCCGCGCCCGCGTGCCCGCAAAGCCCCCGGCGTGATCGAGAGTGCCTCCGCGCCCGTGCGCCCGTGCCATCCATGCCATGCGAGCTTGCGAATTCCGTGGTGACCTCGAGAGTGTCTTATTAAATGTGCGTGTTTTTAGTGTGTGTTTGTGGTGTAGCTATTTAAAGACATTATGCTTTGTATTTTTGCTAACAACCCTCATTTCCCAACTTTTAAGTTGGGAAATCCTCTCCATTTTCTCTATTTTCTTTTTATGTTTTGGTTTGGAGCATGTGAATCAAGTTTTCTGGCGAATTTTCGGTGACATTGTTTCTAGTAAAGTTTCGAGCTTTTGACTCCGTTTCTCCTTCCAAGTGCGTGTAAGAGTGGGTACTTAGTCTTAAGCCTCATTACTTCGTATATCTTTGTTTGCTTTTGTAAAAATCGATATTGTGCTTGTGTTGCTTGGAGGAAAAGATCGAATCTTTGGATCGTGAATGCTTGACTAAGTGTGACTAGGAGTTAAATGCTTGCTCGTTTGTGCTAGAGTTTGGTTTAGCTACCTAGGGTTTTAGCTAGCATGACAATGTTCGGTTATTTGTGTGCCATTGATCATAGAGACTCCGGTGAACCAAAATTCCTCTTTCCCCCTTGATTTCTCTCATCTTCTTGCGTGCTTAGTTAATTGCTTTCAATTGCTCTCATTTCGTAGATTAATCTAGTTTAAATTCAAACCCTCAAATTGCGAGTAGAATGTTTAGGACCTTTTTGGTTGTGTGACTTAGACGACTAGGTAGTGAACGAAGCTCCGAAGAGCCTTCCTTTGAGAACGACCCGAGTCGGGTAGCTCGGTTACCACATGCCCAAAAATACTACAAACACTCTCCGCGGGCACGCCGGCGTGCAGAGCTGGGCACTCTCGAGCTCGCGGCCGGTTCTGCGAGCCCGCGGGCGTTCATTGTCCGGTGGCTATGGCTCGATTTGCTCTAACTTTTTACCCGCTTCTCTGATTGACTCGGAACTTTGACCCACGCTCCTCAAATCTTTTTTCTCCTCATCTTGGAGTGCTCAAATTGATATTGCCGCGCAATTAATATATATGCTCGAAATGACTCGAAAATGGCTCGCGTGGCTCGAACATGGTTCGGACGGCTCGAAAATACCTCGCAAATGGCTCGTCTTTCCAAGATCGAATAATGTGGATATAAACAACACCAAAAAGACAAGAAAAGTACGTCGAACCACAAAAACACAATACAAGAATAAAAATGCACGAAACACGATAAAATAGACCGGTTGACACTAAAACGAACCTAAAAACACTAAACTCGAGCACATAAAACACACGAAAATAAGCACAAAAATACAATAAACAGCTGCTTGGCTATTCCTAGTTGTATCTAGGTTTGTAATTATGTGTTTTTATTAATCTAATCTATCGTTTCGAAAAAAAAAAAGATTCTAGTCATGACATTCTTAGGTTGTACTTTGGGAAGTGAAGTAAAAAGAGTTGTTCACACGATTAGTTTGTTAAGGTTTGAACTCAACTTCTCCACCAATCAACCAACATTATAGAACATTTTAATGTCACGTCAGCATTCCACTATCAAACATCTTTTTTACAATTTTTCCTCCAACAACTTTACACTCACTGCCTAAATAATCTGGACCCACAACTACCCCACAATTGGCAAATAAAGACTGTAAATTAGTGTGAAAAAAAAAAGTGGCTAACAATTGCAGCCAAATTGGACAAAGGGCCCTATTACCGTTGAAGGCAGAAGGAACATGTAAAATTTTACACCTTCTCCACCAATAAAGTCAAGCATAATTCTGACATTGAACTGACATTACACCTTTGTTGGAGTTGCTCTTAGGCTGCAAAAGGAGTAGTTTGACTTGACATTAAAGTTGAGCACAATGGTTAATATTGATAAATGAGCTAAGCTTAAGCTCGAGCTCGAATATTACTACTCACTAAGGCTCAAATCCAAATCGTTAATATTGATAAACGAGCTAATTTCAAACTGGAGCTTGACTCATCTCATTTACACTCCTATACTTGTACTTGTGACTTTGGATAATGACTAATAGGAAGATGCTACGGTCTCGTATATATACCGTATTAGTAGCTCTTTGTCTCTCTCTCTCTCTCTTATATTTTAAATTATTAAACCAAATGAGTTGTCCATGGAGTTGCTAATATCAAACGAGTCACAACAATCAAGAATTTCCGTTTCCCCCACAAACATCTAAAATGGCAAAAACAGTAAAGAAAGCCACAATCTTCGCTTTTCCTTTCCAGCTTCCAACTTTTTCTCCAAGAAACAAACACCCTCAATAATTACCATTATTTTTCACACACACTACACTGCTTCCACTACTGAACCAACCTCAATCTCATACCCAAAAAAATAAAATAAAATAAAATAAAATAAAAAAATGGGCTTTTCAGTTCCCATACTTGCGATCTCCATCTCCCTTCACCTTCTCGCCTTTGTTTTCGCCGTCGGCGCCGAACGTCGCCGTAGCACGGTGCAATTTCTCCCCATTTTTTGTCCTCTTTCCTTCTTTGCTGGATTTTGATTTTTTTTTTTTGTGTTTTTTTT